AATTTGTTGATTGTTTAGTTTTTGGTTTCAAGAAAGTTTTTAGGAGTTTTTTCTGTAGTTTTGGAGAAATGTGGAGCTTTTAAAGGTTTTTACTTTTAGCAGTCTGGAGGTTTTGATGTTTGATCCGTTAATATTTTTATGGTTTATAAGGATTGTTGTCTAATTGGGACGAGCAACCGTTATTTTAATTATTTTACTTTACAATTAATCTGCAGATATTTTTTTTAATTAGTCTGAAAAGCAGTTACAGCTGTTAGCAGAACATTTTAGCCTTAAAAAAATGTAAATAATTAAATTCCTGATTTGTTTTCAGTCAGTCGATTAATTATAAAACCAGCTGTTTGAGCTCTAACACAACGTGAGCTCAGGATACTTCAGTGGTTATTAGTATAAAGTGTTCAAACACAGCTAGTGAGTGTGTTAATCAATTAAAATTAAAACATTAAATATCACTGAGCTGTGATTTATTCTCCTCTAACATAAAAGCACCAGCGGAGATAAGTTGAATACTTTACACAAACCCTGACGAGGCGTAAACCATAAAATGATTATATTTACAGAATTACACTCACTGACGGTTAAACAGCTTTATTTCTTTATTTCTTTATTAATTTCAGCCCATTTTGCGACACATTCATCGAGTACAGACCTTAATTTATTGATCTGATGTTTCAATATCGACCGTAGTGATTGGACTCTTGCTTTAAGTCTTGTTATTATTATTATTATTATTATTATTATTGGGTTTTTGAAGCATCTGGTTATATTAAACATCATATTCTAGTTTTAGAAACTCCTTAATGCTGTTATTATCACATATATAAGATTCTTCATGTTCCATATGTGAACTTTATCTCCTGAAAATGATGAAAGGATGAGAGTCAAACAAGGTTTTTAGTGTTTAATGTGTTTAATTCCTCCTCCACAGAGACGTGTTCATGGCCTGGTGCGCCATCCGAGGGCAGAACTCCACCACGGTCACATAAGGACGCATCTGACGGACGAGTGCCGCACATAAAAGACAAAGAACACATACGAATAACACACGAAATGCAAATGAACAGAGGAACGAACGGACGAACGATCAGGCTCAGGTTATCGGCACGTAACGGAACGACAAACACGAGTCGCAGGAGAGTATTTGAACGTCACTACGATGTGCTTTTACTGCGATCGGCTTCTGAAGACTGCAAACTTTAAAAGACGTACGGACGCGTGGGTGAATAATGATACTAAAAAGAAGACAGAAGAAAGAAACTTAAAGACTTCTTTCTCCTTTTCGATCATCTATTGTGAATCTGAATTATGGACTTGATGATAAAACATAAAAAAGAAAAAGGACGTTTTATATGAACTCACGGTGTTTTTAATTGTTTCGGAAAGAAAGAAAGTCGCAGGAAGAGAAAATCATGAATCTCGCAGATGAATTCAGTTCATTTTTTATTAATTTAACAAAAAAAAGATTCCACTTTATACGTGTGTGCTCTTCCCTTTACTTTTTTTTTTTTTTTTTTGGGGTTTAGTTCTTCAGCAAATAGAGATTTAACAACCGGGCAAAGCACAAACAGTCTTAAAGGTTTAGTTCAAAGTGAAATGTTTGGAAGAAGCCATTTCGAGACAAAAAGGTGGGAATGAATCTGCCGACAGCCAAATGACGTTTGTTACTTTACAAGCCGCTGGAGAAGAGGAGGAAGAGGAGGAAGAGGAAGGGTGAAAGAAAACCACCATCATGCGAAGGATTTTTGAAAACAGGTGCTAACATTCAGGAAAGAAATATCTCTGGTGTTCTCTGTTCTCCTGCTGAGTTTTCCTTCAACATAAGAGCTTTTTAAAAATATGTGGTGCATATTTTTTTTATTTTACATTTTGTGGTGACGTTTGGTTTTTGAGGAGAAACAAACCCTGAAACAATTGGATTGAAATGAACACACCAGCTGTAACAAACACTACTGTAAAGGGGAAATGGGAATACAGTATATAAAAGCTTTACTTTTTAACGTAACAGTATTTAATTTAATAAATTGCTTTCAGGTCTGTTTAAATAATCAAGAAAAGGATGTTTGTTTCCCAAAAGAAAACTGTTCCCAGTCGGATTAAATGACGCCGCGATCGGTCTGGTTTATTGTAGATATCCTGGAAATGTTTTTATTGGTGAAATAAAAAATATTTTATGTTTTAATATACACATTTTGGCCTCACAATTACAGCTGAGTGACGTTTTTGTTTGATTTAATCTCTCATTTTTTCTTCTTTTCAGAAAAGGAACAGAATAAATTAGATATTTTTTTATTTTATTAGTTTTTAGTGGTAAAGTTTAAAGAAGAAGCTCTCGGTTTTGCCGCTGAATATCAGAAAAATGTGAGTTTTCTTACTTTATTGAGACAAGTGAACAAATTTAGACAAACTGTACAATAAAGAGAAGTAAAATACAACTCGTACAACGTATATAAGATAAGTCAGTAACTAGCTCAGCAGATATTAGAGTTTATATAACAATTTTAAACAAAAAAACTTTAATAAACATTTTTATTTACAGCCTTATAGAAAACTAATTTAATGTAAGGCTTTTATTCTCTAAATTATATATTTAAAAATATTAAATTTGACAAATTACATAATTCAAATGTATATTATTGTCCAGGAGGATCAATAATACCGAAAATAATATTTAAATTTAAAAGTTATTCCCAAATGAAGTCTCACGGGAAGTCAAACGGGATTTCCTCAAACGGGATGATCTCATCGCTGCCGTTTTCTAACGCGAGATTTCACGTCACTCGAAGCGTTTGATGACGATGGCGGGAAAACCCACCGTGGCGGGAAAAAGCAGCGTGGTCAACATGAGACAGGGGGTGCTGTTGCGCAGCGCCGCGCCATAAATTCACCGAGAATGCGCCATAAAACCGCGAAAATAAGAGAAAGTGGCGACAAAAATATCAAAAGGGAGAACGAGATTTCACGTTTATACGCTTATTTATTTTATTTTTTTATATTTTATAGATTTCCTTATTTTAGATAATTCCTTATTCATACAAAGATACATACAAACATGGTCTTGTATACAGAGTATGAGGGCTTGCTCACACACACAAAAATAAAGGTACGAGACAAGAACAGTTTTGTACGGTACACTTTTGAAGAATGTTCCCTCAAAAGTACAAGTTGGTCTTTAAGAGGTCAAAAGTGTACATTTTGACTAACAGAAAGGGTACAAAGTGAAAAGAAAGAACACATTTATACCATTTCAAGGGGTACCTGCAG